ATCTCAGAAAGGGAAGCCTGCTAATAAGAATTTGTACTGAGCCATAGCATTTAAGTTACTTGAGCCAGGAACTATGGATCATAGATGTATATTGTATCTATCTCCATAAAAGCAGAGCACCAACTACACTAAGGGTCAGACTGCAAATCTGTTTTAATTTGCCAGACACCATTAAAGTGAAATCAAATGAGAAAAAGTATGGATTACTACTTACCAGGGAAGAACATACAACAGATAATAGAGAAAAACCTGCAACAATCATTGCTTTTTTCAGCCCTCACAAAAAGAAATTAATTGTGACCTAACTAGTTTAAATAACCAGGAAAGCCTGGAAAAGCCTGAAGGAGGAATGAGTTAATGAATCTGTGAGTTACATTTAAGAATCCTATAACGATAAGCAAGTATAGGTCCTGCTCACCAGCCTGATCTCCTCCCGTCAAGGGCATGGGTTCACAAAACAGCTGAGTAAAATTAACAGCTCCTCAGCGAGGGAGGTCTCATAGCCCTTCCCTTTGCTGATGCACTCCCCCCCACGCTTTCTTTGCTTTGCCCTTGCAAAATTTCTGGCACTGCAACATAGAGCAATTGGACTCATTATGCCTGTAAACAGCTACTCCCTCTTTTGCCACACTCATATTTTTTGCCATTTTTGCAGGGTCAGTCAACTCACAGTGCACTCAAATGCCAAAACCAGTGCAAAGGCAGCAGCAGGAGCATGTGGCCAGACGCCTCGTCCTCCCAGCTGTGGTTCAGCCAGCTCGCTCCAAAAGCGTCCCAGCAGCCCAAGAAGCTGAGGTAATGGCAGCCTGGTGAATGTTTTGCTGTAGAGGGGATCGTTTACTTGACAGTCTGAATTGTTGTTTTTACAACAGAAAAAGGTCTCCTTCCAAAGCGTTCATCTGGATGTGCTAATGGTCACAGGAAAGTGAGCTGTGATAGAGGTTGTTCCATGTAGAGAATCAAATATGATATTTTCCCCATTGTTTACCCAGCTCCAGTGCCTCAGAGGAGATGCACGATACTTGTCATCACCAGTCCCCATGTTGCTGTATTCACTGGTAAGGAGCAACCCATCATATAAATAAGTCATTTATATGAGAATAAAAAGCATGTTGTTACTGAACCAACCAATGTAGCACTAATGTGCAATATTTTCCATCCGAGATACACACTCATACTATCTGATGGCCAGTGGGTACTGGAACTCATAATTGGTTTTCCTCCTTGCAGCTGTTCCTCATCACAAAGTAGTAAATTCAGGGTTGTGTCAAGAACACAAAATGCAACTACTCATATTAAATAGCCCCTCTTTTATCTCATCTTTGCAACAGCAATACACTGTCAGTGTTTAAGACTTGTTAGTAACCTACATTCAGCAGGCATTGTCTATTCAAGGAGTAAATACTCTCCTCAGTATAAAGCAGCTGAATCGAAAGTCATCGTTTGCTGAAATCAAACAGTTTTGCCATTTTTAATGTTGGCAGATCACAGAAGTTTAAATTCAAAAGTGTCTGGGTTTTTTAGGATTCAACAAAAGTCACGACAGGTGTTGTAAATTCCCTTGGGATTTGAACGGTTTTTCCCAGGACCCAAGCGTTGAGGATTAAATCTCATGCCAATCTATGCAGTTAATCAGAGGAGTGCTGTGTTACCTGTGACATCCTGAAGGAGTGTATCGGCAGGCAAGGCGCATCTGAAAGGTCCCAACATCTTGTTCTAAAGGATCACCATGGCTACAGAACTGGTATGTATTACTGTTCCTGAAATAACTCCTAACACATCAGACTAAAGTAATAAAAATACTTATATACAAATATCTGAAAATAAACACACAGGGTGGGCACTTTGCCTCAAGGATCAGATCAAAGAGACCTTGAACTTTGCTCTCCATCTTTGTATCTAGGTAACAAACCACAGATATTTGCCTAGTCCCCGTGATGAGCAACTTGTTACTGATGCTTCCTTTGATTCAGCAGGTTGATTTAGCCCAGGCTAGGACCTCGGTTTACGATAACGTACTTCCTTATATAGCCTGCCATTTCTTAAGATCCCATTTAGATTAAAATATTCTCCCACCCTGAGGATTTCCTCAGTCATTAGTCAGAAATGAGATTCATTTTCTTCCCACCAGAACACTTACTGCCCCTGCCTGCTCTGGAGACACTAATTACTGCCTAGCAGTAAACAGGCAGGTCGTGACTGCTCACGTCGTTAGCCAACCAACCTCTGAAGAGATCATCAGCACGTTGCTACGCAGACTGCCCTTTTCTCCCTGACTGGGCAATACTCAGATCCTAGTGTGAAGCTGTCCCATTGGGTTTTTTTATAATCTCGTATTCCATAAAACAGAATTTGCTAATCATACAACACACCACGTTGCTGGCTCTCCTGTGAGATGAAATGCAATGATAATCAAATCACTTTCAGTGGTTACAGATCCTTGCGTGGCTGTACCCTGAGCTGCCTCTGCAGGCTACCGCATCACTGGACAAGACAAAAAATATTAACAAGCAAAACTCACATTTGTTTCAAGATTCATAGCGTACGTGAAACTAATCAGTCTGTGTAACACATTGGTAGATATTTGGATAAAAACACTTTAATTCCAAACACCGAACTCTCTCAGCTCCACCTTTATTTGCATTTTCTAGGCATGGATCCTCAGAACTTGACCTTGTCTGCCTTAGACTACCGACTGCACTGGGCTGCTCAGGTGAAAATGAAGTGTACGAACATTGGCACCTCCTATCTGAATCCTCACTGTCTTCCTCCCTACCTTCACAACTGATATCACACATGTGAATGGCAGTGGCTGGCTTGAATCCAGCATGAGCTTTTTCTTCATAAGGAACTGGGGTTGTTTAGCCTGGAGAAAAGGAGGCTGAGGGGAGACCTCATTGCTCTCTACAACTACCTGAAAGGAGGTTGTAGCGAGGTGGGTGGTGGTCTCTTCTCCCAAGTAACAAGCGATAGGACGAGAGGAAATGGCCTCAAGTTGCGCCAGGGGAGGTTTAGATTGGATATTAGGAAAAATTTCTTCCCCGAAAGGATTGTCAAGCATTGGAACAGGCTGCCCAGGGGAGTGGTTGAGTCACCATCCCTGGAGGTATTTAAAAGAGGTGTAGATGTGGTGCTTAGAGACATGGTTTAGTGGTGGACTTGGCAGCGCTAGGTTAACGGTTGGACTTCAGCTTAAAGGTTGTTTCCAACCTAAACGATTCTATGATTCTATGATTATTTTTAACAACTTCAGATCTCTTTTGTTACGCAAAAATATCATAACTCAAGATACAGTTTGATAACTTTAATGAGGCTTTGCAATTTACATTCAATATGTATTAGTACACAAAATATAAGAAATCACATATACATATAAACTTTTGTTTGTTTGTTTTACAAGTCAACCAGTATGAACTACACAAGCTACATTTATTCACATAACAAAATGGAACATTGATGAGCTTCATTCACCAATCAAATATCTCAACAATTTACAGACCAACATTTTTTTGCAGCTGCTAAAACAACTATCTTCCATAAAGAACAAATAATTTATGTCAACAGATACACTGACATCACATTCTATGAAATGAAAAAGCCAAACTGAGCACTGACTGAACACTTCCAGATTTCAGCAGAACCCACACAACAGCAACAGTGCGGAGCTTATACCAGCATCAAATCTGTCCACAGTTTATCAGCTCTGTGACTGAGAAAATAAATCACATACAGAAATTCTTCCGGGTAAACGAAGCCATTTATTTCATTATAGGGTTATTTAACCCATTTCTTTTTCAACCTTTTTAAAACAAAAAGGAAATAGTTTTTAAAACAAAAAATTTATATATTTAAACCTTTTGGTTTTTTATTTTCTGACTTAAACTATTCTCACATACAACATGAATTTGTAGTTTGTGAATAGTTTTGGTCCCTCAGACTGTCTTCTTGTTGAATCAGTTTTTAACTACTTTGTCCAAATACACCAACAATTCACTAATGTAGTTATTTGAAGTTAAGTAGGTAAAAATAACATTAGACATTTCTATCTTAAAACAATCCCTCTGCTACAAAGTCTCTGATACTCTCATTTTTGCTTCTGAACAAAGTACAGTCACAAAAAGCAAAGCCTCTTTTAGCAGCATTAAAGGTGAAGGGCCTCCTGTGTAAAGTCCTGGAAACTTTCTGGTTCCTTCAAATATACTGAATGCCCTCAGCTCTTCAGACACAGACCCTGCAAAAAATGAGCGTGCAGTTTGCTTTCACAAACACAACCACGCTCCCAGTGCAGTTCCCTGCAGACGTGCTCCTTTGGTCACACACATTTTTCATGAGACACACGTGAAGCAGATGTACCTCATGAACATTTCAGTATATGCATTAGGGGAATGCTTCAAGAAACTTTTTTCAGTTTCGGGGGGGGGGGAATAAAACTACTCTTTTTACAGACTAACCACAGCTTTATGCCTGTTAGTTTCAAGAAAATTTGTTGAAAGGACTAAAAGCTCACCAATAGATCTGAAAATGTAACTGTAAGCAAGCTGAGCTGATCTGCTTCTGTGTTCCCACAGGGAACCTCATGTTTTGTCAGTGATTTGAAAGGAACGCTTACACTGATGAAGTTTGCAGCTCTCCCAAAAATTCATGGAACAGTAAATAATGAAGAGGTCATGTCAATGAACCAAGCAAACTGGATCATTTAATAAGCTGGGCACAAGCAAAATGTTTTTTACATATCCAATTGGAAAATTCAATGCCTAGAAGCAAAGAATACCCTTATGGAAAGGATGGTGGACTTTACCCTAGGAAGTAATGACTCGGCAAAGGATTTAGGGGTATCACTGGTAGATAAAATCTACCCCTTTTAAAAAATCACCTTGGAGATCACTTTCGCACTTGCATGTGTTCTTAAGAAGCCTGCTAAAGTAAAGGATTTGGTGGGGAGTATTATAAGGAACCCTGTTCACTTTAGTACCTGGAAGGGAGAAATACAGGATGATTTATCATTCCACCACCAGTTTTGGAAGGGATGTATTCTAAAGGGAATTAAAACATTCAAGTGCATCTTTTGGAGTAGCAGTATCAACCGGTAAGCAACAAGAGCAAACCACTCACAATTTAAAACAAATGCCAAACCACTGAGCCTTGGAATTCATTGTAAGGTATTGCCCGTGTATAAGCGTTGCCTCCATCATCTCTTCATACACTGTGTTTAACTTTATTGCCCTGTAGAGCTGAGTGGCTGTAGGTTTACTTGTTTGGAACTTACTGGTGACTCAGATATTGCTGCAACCTTCAAAGAATTCTTGATGGAGCTGAGTTCCCACATGTGTAAGTTTATGATGTGCACGCCACAACATCCCCTTGTGATCTTGTACAGGTTTTTAAGTACGGCTTTCCGGAGAAGAATGTACACCCAGGGATCTAAAATCTGATTCCACGTTGCCATTCGGAGAGCGAAAAGTATTGTTTCACAGGTCTCCTTTGAATGACTCTTGTTTATCCCAATTCTGGCCATTGTCACCTGAAAATGGAACATTTTAAAATTATACATCAAAAAAATACACCAAGAGAGCATGTAAATGGTGAAATCGTTTCAACATTATCTCTAATCTTCACAACTTCACAGCATCAATGCATCCCAGTTGCAAAGTAAATACTTTCAGGCATGTAACATTTATCATCGTAGAAATCCTCTAATATTTTACATAGGATGTACAT